CTTGCACATGCTAATATGTGAGCAAGTTTCTCTTCTCAGTATCTCTTCAGACTTGTTCTGGGGACAGCTCAGACATGCCCAGAGCAACTTTTCACTCTGCATCCTTAGAAGGAATCCCTTTCTTAAGATCCCTCACTTCTAGAATATGTATAATAAAATTACATCCCATCATTGGCATGCACATGGATTCCCTGACTCATGTCTGCCTCTAACTTCAAAGATGTAATAGGCCAAGGACCTTTTCTATGATTTTTCTTTCCCTTTGATATTTTTACATTGCAGGTTGCATGGTAGTGTAAAAATAGTCAAACTAGTTGTACAAGCTAACCTGGGTACTGGAACCACTCGAGCTACAGCAGTATGCAGCTCAGGGAGGGCTCATTTATGTCAATGAAAGAGAAGATACATTTCAGGACCTGAACTACTTCATTTATAGAGAGAGGTAGTTAGTCATATACGTCTGAAGCTTAGGTAGAAGGCAGTGCAGTGTGGTACTTTATAGACTAACTCATTCAGAGAGGCATGAACTTGTGTATGCTACCGCCTACTTCATCATATACTACAAATATGAATTGCATCTGATGAAGTGGGCTGTAGCCTATGGAAGCCCATGCTTCTCTGACTTAGTCTGTAAGGTGACCCACTGCCCTGCTTGCTTCATTTATAGTTAACCTGTGCATCTCTATACTTTACTGCAGTTAGCACTGTAGACATACATTGCTACCTGCATCACTGTTTAATTTGATATATGTTTTTTAACTAAGAAGAATGAAGCCTGTGTCCACTCCCTGTTAGAGCCATGGAACTGATTCTGTAACAGATATTTATAAGAGGCCTGCTCTGTGAAGATGCTGAGACCCCTCAAGTTGCACTGATTTCCACTGAACTTGCAACTGCTCCACAACTTATGGGATCAGGCCCAACAGACCATGAGCTGCATCCAGTTCCACTAAACATGCTCCAATATTACTTTTAGCAACACCACTCTTCAAGAAATGAGTGAATGTCTTATGCATTTTGGTAGCTGTACTGCTTATTTGACTAGCAATTATGTTAATACTGGGGCAAGTCATTACGAGCAATGTAAAAAACAAAGTTAATGTGACCATCAATTATTTATTATAACATTGACATAAGCAGCACAGTTGTGTATGTAAGTAGCAATATTTTTAAGTTACAAGAATTAGGTTTACAAATTACAGTAGAAATAATGGTAATATGAATAGATTCTATGAATCTATTAGAAATGAACCATTCAGATGTATAGGTAGAAAAGGTACCATTTGAATTAAAGGCAGGCCTGGTAGCATGCCACTAGGGCTGTGAGGAACAGCACCATTCCTCTTCAACTTCCATTTCGACATTTCAATGGAACAGTGTTTTGCTTTGAGTTTCGTTTCATTTCGAAAGCACTGTTCTGTTTTGTTTTGTCGAAACTGTTTCGCTGTTTTGGCATTTCGCCCGTAGGCTATAATGGGGAAACACGGAACTGCCTATAACTGTCATTTCTAGCCTGATTTGGATGAAAACTGCAGAGATGGTAGCCCATTCTGAGGACATGAAGATTGCCAAGTTTAAAGGAGATAGGTGTACAGATTTTGGGGAAACTGCACCTCAAGTTGCAAAACTGTCACTTGCTGGCAGCAGCAGTCTCTTGTCCTCCAGCAGGCAGATCTGGGGGCCCGTACCCCTGAGAGGGCTACAGGGCTGCGCTGGAATCCTCCTGGGGCTGCAGGCCCCAAACTGCCTGCCAGATGACAGGAAGCTGCTCCTGACGTCTGGGGCCAGCGGCAGCACCAATCATCTTGGCACCAGTCTCAGGCAGCAGGAGCAGTCTCCTGTGATCTGGCAAGCAGGTTGGGGCCTACAGCAGTCTCCTATGATCCAGAGCAGTCCCAGGCAGCAGGAGAAGTCTCCTGTGATCTGGCAGGCCAATTGGGGGCCCCCTGCACCACCGGGAGGAACCAGCAGAACCCTGTAGCCCTCCCGGGGGTGCGGGGGACCCCTGATCTGCCTTCTGCATCACAGGAGACTACTCCTGCCACTGGGAAGGTGCTGGGCACAGCCCACATCCAGTGCCAGAAAGATTGGTGCTGCCACCCATCCCAGGTGGCAGGAGCAGCCTCCTGTGATCTGGCAAGCAGATCGGGGTGCCCCTGCACCCCAGGGAGGGCTGCAAGGCTCTGCCAACTCCTCTCAGGGGTGCGTGGGGCCCCCAATTGGCCTGCCAGATCACAGGAGACTGCTCCTGCCACCTGGGACCAGCACTGAGCAGAGCCTGCACCCAGCGCCAGGAAAATTGGTGTTGCCACCCATCCCAGGTGGTAGGAGCAACCTCCTGTGATTCAGCAGGCAGATTGAGGACTCCCCCCCAGGAGGAGTCAGCAGAGCCCACAGCTCCCCGTTTTGCCTGCCAGATCACAGGAGGCTGCTGTTACCACTTGGGACAGGTGGCAGCACCAATCTTCTTGGCACTGGGTGTGGGCTGTGGCCAGCGCTGGTTCCCGAATTGGTGCCAGAATCTGCCAGTGACAGAATCCTCCCGGTGCAGGGGTGGCTCCTGGATCTGCCTGGGATGACAGGAGGCTGCTGCTGCTGGGTGGGACCGGTGCTGAAGCCAAGCCCAGCTTTGAAAGTCAAAACATTTTGAAACTTTCAAAACATTTAAAAAATGCCCTTGTTTTGTTTTGAAGCTGTTTCAAAGGCTTTTGTTTCATTTCAATTTCGCTGTTTCGAGCTGGAAATGCATTGAAACAGCTTCAAAACAATACATTTGGTAAAATTTCACACAGCCATACATGCCTCCTGTTGCTAAAGATTGCAGACATTTCCTATTATAAGACCTTCCTCTCAGTTGCTCATAAGTGCTAAACTTTAACAGATCAGAGTAATATCTAATGTGTTGCATATCTTCCTCTGGCTGAAAGCTTTTGGAAGAATTCAGCTAAAATAGCTTGGCTGCTTCTGGGAAGAAAGGTAGGGGCAAACAAGCTGTGTTTCAATGTTAAAAAAAACAACCCACCATCCCTTTCCAGTCACCTTTTATTTGGAAGCTTTAGCACCCCAATGCTACAGAGGAGGGACCTGACACTTGATATAAATGTACTCATTGTCAAGCTCTTGAACACCTGTCTAAATATAGGCAAGTTATAAGTGTTTGAAAGCTGAGTTTCCATATGCACACTAGTGTAGGTTGCAGCTATGTTGGTCTAAGGACATAGACAGACAAGGTTCTTTGGGTAAATCTGATATCTTTTGGCACTTTACAGCTAAAATCTCCAAAGGTGCTGTGCATACTGGGCATACTCAAGTCTCTTGTTGTACCCAGTGCTGAGTGCACATGCACCATCCAACAGAGAGTGACTGAGCAGTCACCATCACCATAAACCAATTTAGCCTGGCTTGCCAGGGACCACCTGTTTGCTAGGGCTGAGAACCAGCGTAGCATTACCATACGTCCGGGTTTTCCCAGACATGTCCTTTTTTGGGGCCCCTGTGCTGTGTCTGGGCAGGTTTTTTAAATGCAAGCCAAATGTCTGGGATTTCCTCCCCTAGTCTATTTTCAATATGACTGCTGCTAGGTAAAACTACAGTTCCCAGAATACCTAGTGCGGCACCTACATGATTGGAAGCTGAGTTAGTTATTTTGCTTTGCTCTACTGGTGGGAGCAAGGGAAGGGCAATCAGAGGCAGCAGGGAGTGGAGCACAGAGAGTCAGGAGCAAGGGGCACCTGCAGGGCTGAGGGGGCAGGGGGCAGAGGCTGCAGGCAAGAATAAGCAGCACTGGCAGGGCCAGGGGTGTAGGAGGCTGCAGCTCAGGAGTGAGGGGCACTGGTAGGGCTGGGAGGGTGTGGTAGGGGCTGTGGGTCAGGAGTGAGGGGCATTGGGGGCGGAGGGGCAGATGACTGTGGGTTGGGTGTGCAAAGCAAAGGCAGCACCAGGGAGCTGCAGGTCAGAAATGAGGGGCACCAGCAAGATGGGGGAGGCAGAGCAATGCTTTCTGGGAGTGAAGGGTACTGGCAGGGCTAGGTTCAGTGGGTCAGGAGTGAGGGGCAGCAGCAGGGCTGTGGGGTGGGAGGGCTGTGGCTTGTCAGTGAGGGGCAACAGAATGAGCAGTGGCAGGGCACTGGCATGTCACTGCCCCCCGACCATCATATTTCCCCTGCTGCCCTCCACCCTCCCCCTCCCAGGTGTTCTCTATTTTGGACCTGGAAATATGGTAACCCTAAGGTCCAGGAGACTCATTTCACATGTGAGACAGAGCACCCTGAGAGGGGTTCAAGCAGTGATCCAAACTGTTCTTTGTGGGTATAGGAGGGGTTGAGTAGCTAGGCCTGTTGAATAGACTCTATTAGCATTATATAACTGCCCTGCTATTTACAATTCAATTCTTACACAGCTTAGGAGGCTTAGAAACTGGAAGAACCTGTTATTTGGGTTAAAAAAAGGCTGGCTTTCTGGAGCGAGGGGCTGTTGCCTGCACACAATGAATAAGATACCGCTCATTATGAAACTGGGGAGTCCTGTGAGCAGGAGGAGGGGAGGGAGAGGTGATTTGCTCTGAAGGGTAAATGTAAGGAGTCCAGGGCAGGCTCCCTGCCGGCTGAAGAGTATTTGCTGGAATGAGGGGAAATTCAGGCATGAAATTCCTTTCACAGTTTATCACTCAGAGTATCAAGACAACCTGACCATTTTTTTTTATTCTGGTGTTTAAAATAATCCTCCTTCTGGGCTGCTTTGCTGATGAGTCCCTGGTCAAACACCTGAGCTGATTGCTCTGAAGATAAAGCACAGGGCACGACCATGTGTAGGGTTACCATATTTCCTGTTCCAAAAAAGAGGACACCTGTCTGTGGAGGAGGAGAGAGGGGCTGTGTGTGTGTGTGGGGGGGGGGGGGGGGAGGGGCTGTATTTCTAATTGTTACAGTAAATAACAAGTGTTATTCCCTCAGAAATTAAGTGAGAAACAAAAATAAATGTAAAGTGGTTTTAAAATGTACCTTTTTACATGCTGTCAGTTCTCTCCTGTGCTTCTTTGGTCGTGCCCATACGTACTTCTCTAGAGCTTATCTTTCTCAGCAATTGTTGATTGCTCATCAAGTAGCCATGGAAGTCATCTTGTACAAGCAGTATCCCTTTCAGTGACTCAGCAGTCAAGTTGTTCCTTTCCTTTGTCCACTGGCTTTGCATTAGTGAAAAAACTTGTTCTATATTTGCATTGTGGGAGGGAACAGAAAAGAGGAACTGGGTAGACCTTAACAATTCTGAGCGACATTCAGTGTTTTTGGCCTTCTCAAAATATTTGACCCATTTTTGGTGTGCTAGCAGATTGTTGAACTCTTCATCACTATTGCAACCTTCCACAAATTTCTTGAGATTGCTGAACTGATCAAAGCTCTTACCATCATCAGTTTGCACCCCCTTCTTTGTCAGGTATTTGATGTAAGGTTCCACATTCAATTTGCTGTCTCACTTAGGGCAACCCACATGAAACAGGAGAAGTCTTCCAAGGGTGCCATCCACATCTCCAAATATTCTATGCCATACAGACATTCAACTTTTGCACAGAATATATTATGCTCTTCATCAAGTCCATCCTTATGGTTTTGTGCCAGGCCAGTAGCTCCTTAATTTTCAGTGACATGAAGTTGTGGGTCTTGTGTTCACAAAGGATAGTGCATACTGAGTTCAAGATTTTCACCACTTCCACAGTGGAGTTGTTTTCCATTTCTATTTCTTGAAAGTATGAATAGAATGCACTCATGAGTGAATGCATATGCCAGAGGTAAATCTTGCTGAACTCATGTTCAAAAAAATTATTAATCATATTAGGTGGTTTGCTCTTTGACAGGAAGAATGATTTCAAGGCTGGAAACATCTGAAGAAGCCTTGTGATACCTGGAAATAAGGACAGCCATTGTGTTTTGCTGTGAGAAAGCAGCTTTTTGTATTCAACTTCAACAAACTCACAGTATTCCTTAAGAAGCTCAGGTCACACAGTGTAGATATGAAAGCAGTTGTAAATTCTAATATTATAAAAGCCTTAGTCTGTCTGTCTGTCCATAACACTTTATTCCCACTCCGATTGGTTGTCTCAGCAGCCAATCAGAATGCTCTGCACAGACAGAGACACATAGCAGAGTGCCACCATGACAGCAGGGACTGAGGGGCTGGAGCGGGGGGAGGGCCCTGCTTCTTGGAGGCAAAGGGGGATGGCAGAGACCAGAACACCACTATGACAGAGGGGATGGAGGCGCTGCTGGCCTCACCCCCCCACCCCCAGCCCTGATCCTTGGAGCCAGAGACTGGAGCTGGACCCCGACCCGAGTCGGCAGGGGGAGGGGTCGGGGAGGCGTCCAGGCCTCTGTCCCTGCCCACCACCTCCCCCCACCATCATGCTTGACGGGCAATTTGATAGTTTTGAAATTAATGCTCTTAATATCAACATCAAGTGTGTCTGCCCTGTGATGGACACAGTTGTTCAAAATGTGTGCTGGGCAGCGCATACCAGTTGAAGTCCCCTTCTGCAACAGCTTCTTTAAATTTGCATACACAGCTTCTGTATCACACCGGAGTCCTCTGAACATTGTATTGCCGTTGTCACTGGCAAAAGTGACACACTTGTCAAATACCCCTTTCTCTCCCAGAGTTTCCTTGATATATTCTACAATTGTACCCGCAGTCCCATTAGGTGTGTTCTGAACCTGGATAAGCTTTGATTGCAGCCAACCATTCTTCCAACCAAAATACTGAATTATTACTGGAACTATTTCCACGGCACAATGATTGATTCCATCTGTAGCAACTCCACAGTACTATACGTCATGATCTTCAAGTGCTTTCAGAGAAGCATCACCAAAATGTGGTGCAAGCACAGAGTTAACAATCACTTCTGTCTTGGTTTGAGCACTTGCAAATTGTCAGGCTATCTCAGAATCAGGGAGTGTCTTTTTCAGTAAGCATGACACTGCTCGGAGCACTCCCAGCCAGGTCATGAGGCGCTACAGGGATTTGGGAGCGGGGCTTAAGGGTCTGGGGGCACAGGTGGTGTTCTCATCGATCCTCCCAGTCTCAGGCTATGGGCTGAGAAGGGACAGGAGGATCTATGTGGTCAACCAAAGACTGCAGTGCTGGTGTCATCAGGAAGGCTTTGGCTTTCATGACCACAGCCTGCTCTTTGGCGAGAGAGGCAGTGAGCTGCTGGGAAGAGATGGCCTCCACCTCTCTCCCCTAGGGAGGAGGCTCTTCTCAGCCAGACTGGCTGACCTACTCCACCGGGCTTTAAACTAAGCCAGTTGGGGGACGGGGGGACTACTGCCACTGCTGGCCCGCTGAGCAATCCTTGCAAAGCCAG